GWWTYTCSARWRTKTYWMAATAATTTTTGATAATTGTTGATAATAATTAACGATTCTGTCTCATTATACTCGTGTACAACCTYTTCRGCGAGAAAAATACYGGAAAYTAGCAARTTATGTCACCCACATCACRATAAATGTCAAACGCAAAATTACAGTAGACCAGCTATTTTTTTAAATTCTGGCCAAATTGGTATTATTTTCGTAACCTAGCAACCGATATAATTTTTCAATCACGCCTTGAGGTGCCCTTCTGGGATTGGTGGATTTAAGAGTCGAATAACTTTCTTATGCATGCAAAAATTACTTCTTCGGCTGCACTTTTTGGCAACCTATTGCCGCCGGCATTTGACATTTTTCTCTGGGGCGCGAGTTCTGGCGCACCCTGTATAGCAGGTATCCAGTAGGAAAAAAGGGCTTCAAGTTATTCCTAACATTTCTGCATAATAATTAGACTTAATTTTTGTTGAAAAATAGAATTACCTGGTGTAAATACATCGTCTTATTAAATTTATTCATCTTTTACATCAATTCTTAAAATGACCTAATTTTACAGCTTGTACTTTTAGTTGTTTCCTTTTAGATGCGAAACATCCCTCGTAAGGTCATAATAAATCAGATAAAACCGGTGATGGGGGTCTGCTTACGATAAGCTCAGTTTGTTGTGAAAAAGAACTAGGGTTGAGAGAGACAAGACGATTTTCACACTACGAAAGTTAATAATATTTTCTACAAGAGATTTTACAGTTATTAATTATCCGAATGATTTAATTTTTTTTTCTTAAGGTCTTTGGTATATGTAGGAAGGACATTGTTAATTTCCATATAAATACTATAATTTTATTATAAAAAATAAGTTAAAAAATATATAAAAAATAAGAATTTAAATTAGCTACATAACAATATCCCTAGAAATATCTAAAATGGTTTCATCAAAAAAATAAAAACAAAAAAATTCCTTATAATAGCCGAGAAAAACCTTTTCGAAAAATGCATTGAAATTCCCTATCTTGGCAAACGATAAGTTAAGCCTTAACCCTAATTTACATCCTAAGCTACATTGTTGTAAGATTTATAATTTTAGTCAACATTTATTACTTCAGTTGGTTGACTATAATATCGTAGTTAGAAAAAGCCCCGTTTACTTTAACGAAAAATTGCCAAAACCAGGCACAGCAGTTTGCAGTTGTACGCTTTTCTTTTGAATACACAAATGTAGATAAAAATAAATTTCTAAGTTACGTAGGTATTGGAAAAAAAGATTTGTGTGCAGGGTGTTTTATAAAAACACAAAAAAAAGAAAAATGTCAAGTAAAATAAGATACCAGGAACATGAAAAAAATGTTAAAAAAAATCCATCTATAAAAAATTCGAACTTATGAGAGTTTAAATTTTGCATTTTAACTCTATTTATCTTCGTTCGAAAAATAATTTTACATGTTCTTTTGCTACAGACTGTTAGAAGAGGAAACAAAGAAGCTGTGTCCTCAATTGTAACTATGATTAACGTTATTTGTAACCTTAAACTATACCCATTTCCTCTGCGATATTTAAAAACCTTTACAAAAACTTAAATTCAGAAAATTGCCTAACCTGTGCCTAATTTTAGGTTACAACTTCCTAGTAATAATTATTCTAGTTATTAATTACTACCATGTTTTGGACGTGAAAGCAATGTTTTATTAAGACATTGAAAAACGATAACAATGTACCACGTGCGCGGGTCAGGGATTCAGCTATTTGATTTACTTTAATTTTAGACACAACCGTTGAAAATGAACAGAATGTCAAAGGAATTATATTTTACTTGCAACATTTAATAAATATCAAGATATTTTACTTACCTCGTAAAAACCAGGGATCAGAGAGAGAGAAAGATTGGAAACTTCGAAATTTTAGAGCACGGAAATGGCTAGAAGCTGTAGATCAGAAAGATTTACTAGAAGTAAATTATACCAAACAAAATTTTCGGGTTTGCAGTGATAATTTTGCTCAAGAGCAGTTGGAAAGAAAATGGCTAAGATTTCTATTAATACTATACCAAATATTCTATACCAAACATAAGTTATATAAAAAATGTGTAAGATTTTTCACATACTGCGAAAGAGTACTTTCCATACTTATTGATTTCAGAACCAGGAGAGGAAACAAATGTTGAGAAGGCCATTGAAATTGATAATATTAATTCTGATACTAATTTCCCACTTATAATTTAAAATTATAAGTTGTAATTGAGATGATTAAAAACATAGAACACATTATTCATATTGTCAATTTATGTAATGAAGATTCGACGAATTTGTTCTTTGGGCTAGCAGATTCGAAAATAGAATTAAAGTTTCAAGTAACAATCAAATATTGAAAAAAAAATTGTTCATTAATATTAAATAAGTTTGTTTGGACTAAAATGTGTTTTTGAATTTGGCGCGTTTTTATTGATTCAACTGATACTGTGCCTCTGGTGAGTCAGGTGTTCATTAGATTTGAATTAGGGGTCGTTTTTTTACATAGGAGGCTTATGGCCGTTTCCGATCTTTTTCTCTCTGATCTGTG